GACCCTGGCTTTTTTTTGTACGCCAAAATTTATACACACAAGTTCAACATTTTGACCTAATATGTATCTAATTTTGAGGTAAATAAATTATACCCATTCAGAGTTGTAGAAACAGACATTGCATATTCCACATACACACACGCGGCTGAGCGCAAGCACCACACGGCACACACGCGCACGCATCGTCGATGTAGTCAAATAGGCAGAACAATTTCACAATGAGAAGTCTTTTTCGTAAATCGGATTAATCTATGGGAAAACATACTTAACACATTACAAAGCTAAAGTGACAAGTTAATGAGATACTCGTGGTAGGAGGCACGGAAGCGCGCTGTGACAACGCGTCTAAGGTGGGAAGTGTCATCGCACTTGGCACCTCAGAAATGCATCAAAGGTACACCGAATTTAAATGCTGAGCGGTAGTGTTCAATAAACAAAAAAGTGAAAATAAGAAATGTCGTAATGAGAGAAGTGAGAGCAGTGCATTGAAACCCTCCTGATCCCTTTGAATTTCCTAACCGAGTGCATTCACAGTTGTGAGTGAAAGCTCTGCTTTTGCAGCATGGGAAGCACAATCAACGCCTTCATATAGCATCGCGTCATCAGCAAGGAGCCCACCAGATCCAACCAGCAGAAGGCAACCACTTGTGAAAATTACTACGAGTAATCTTTTTTTTTAGATTTTATTTTCATTCCATCCACATCACATGTATAAATCATAGCTACTCATGTTTGATTTTCATCCGACTGTTTCACGTCAGACCAATTTTATGAGAAAATTTGGCACAAGCACTGGCACCACGAAACCAAAGAAATGATCTCGCTTGATTGACAGTGCAGCGTTTATTCACAAATCGGTAAATTCAACATAGTAAAGCCCTAGAGGTAGAGAAAGACTTTGATGATAATGAATAATATGGTATAAACAGTACAATTCCGATAATAAAATATTAGTTTCAGAGGAGAGAAATTCGAAGGGTGGAATCATCAATTGAGGCGGGTGAATGGAATGAAGTCTCTAGGGTGTGGAGAGGAGGGGTTGGGTTCTGGTAAATGCATACATGATGAGAGCTGAAAGTCCACCTGAAATGGGGAGGGTAACGACCCAGGCAACCACGATCTCAATAAAGAGCTTCCAGTTGACATTAGACTTGGCGCGGAAACGACCAACACACACCACTGAGCCCACTTTGCAGTGAGTTGTGGAGATGGGGATGCCCAGATTGCTGGCTATCAACACCGTCACCGCGGACCCCAACTCGATGCACACACCACTAAAAAGTGATGGACAAAATCCACATACAAAATCCACAAATTACTCCACCATTTCCTTATGCCAAGCAAGGAGTCAACAACGCTTAAATGGATGTGCAGTGGATATCACCATCGGACTGCATTTCAGTGTTGGCATTCTATTAATTGCACATAAAACAGTGAAGGATCAAAGCAGGTCAAATTCACTCGCTTCCGAAGACTGGTTGCCCTGCATGCTAATGCAATCAGCCTTCACACCGGTCGTTCTACAAAGGACTTGGAACCTCGTTATTGTAGTTCTGTATTGGCACCGACTTAGGCGAGACGGGTCACAGCGACAACCTTTTAAGAGCATTGTCTTGGGATTTTTTGCGGCAGATGTCCACATTTTTCTACCTCGTGACACTTTCGTCGGGAGACATTTTACATGCGATGAGTTGGTTGTTTATTTAGTTCACATTAAATCCCCACCTTGTCTGAGGCTTGCTGCTGTGTTGAACTTTGTAGAGCAATTGCGAATTCATACTTTTAGTCCGCCAAGATGTGAAAAGACAAACAATCCTCACCGTCTTCATACACAAATTCAATCATATTGCATAATACTCAAGTTGTTATAACTGCTCTGACAAATAAAATATGAGACATTAACTGTATACACGCAAATTTACTCCTTTCAATCCAGTCGAATAGACTCGCCACCTCCGCAACACACCACAGACGCACTTTGAAGCTGCTCTCTCGAAGCATAATAGCAGTAATGAATGATCATAACTGCCTTGGCACTCGAAATCCCGTCCTTGAATGTTGGGAAGTACGACGAAATTAAGAGTGGGAATTACAATGAGTGGAGCCTTAGAGTTCTTCCAATTCGGGACAAGACATTTCAACATCATCCCGAGACAAATCGTAAGCCACAAATTAGATAGTGAGATCGGCCACCTATTTATATTCGAAGGTTAATTTAGAGACTGAA